TTCGGAAACCTACAAACTGGAGACATGAGGTCTACGGAGGCAAAAATAGCGATTGAGCAGCCTCCCTGAAGATAACGCTGATAAAAGAATTATGTTACTAATCAGTGCAATGAAATCAGCACAAAACATTTGGGCCGTCGACTAGCTTGAGATCATCAATCCAGTGTGGCGTTAGCTAAGCTTAATCGACGCACAGCCCTGAATTCTACGCTTGTTTGCAATGAGCAGCGTCACGCACGGGCAATCTAATCGCCGTCTGTCCAGATGACTTTAGAAACAGAAAACAGCGTTGGGAAGGGCCTCCTGTCCGTATGCAAATTGCCCAACTAAGCTGGTCCGCTGAATGCTTTGTGCTTAGTAAATGTAAAACAAATGCAGGCCATGTTCGGAAGCAGTATGAAGTACTTGCGGTTTCAAGACTGGCAAATTAACGAGGTTCAGTTTTGATGCGGATTTATGGTATACGGTTTAATAGATCAGGATGTCTTAATCTCAGTCAAATCATTTTCTTGCGTTTTTTGCATTTATGCAGCGCAAAAACGCATAGTGTCGAGGGGTTATCTGTGTGTTCGTCCTACTGATTTTTCATCTCGATAACTACAAAATCTACAGGGCTGAAACTTTGACAACTTAAATTACATTCACATATGAGGCCATAATCTCCAAAATGGACGCCCTTCCCACGTACGGGCCGTGAAAGGTTTTTGCGGGTATGTAGCTAACTCGGGGACCAGGGAAGTTAGAAGGCTGAAATTTAAAGGTGATATTCCCCTTCTACTTGCAATCAAAGGATTTCAAAATCAGCCAGCAGGTGTGCGTGGTTCTTATGCTCGAGCCCGTGAAAATTTTTTGCGACTGAATTGCTAACTCATGAACCAGAAAAGCTAGAAAGCTGATTTTACGAGAATTTTTCCTCACAGTCCTGGCCGCCAATCTCAATCTTTTTAACTGCTAGAAAAAACAGCGGCAAAAGCTTGCGGAAGAACTGTGCAAAAAGCGTATGTTAGCACTGACAGTCGGTGCACCGGTCAGTTACGTAGATATGCTATAGATTTCAGCCTTTTATGTAGATATGCTATAGATTTCAGCCTTTAATATTTTCAATAAGCTTAATTATTAGCCAATATCTGCTCTTGAAATGAAGATTATAGTTTTGCTTAAGCCAATAAATATCTTAGCATCTAATATCAAACAAATATTCACTTCTTGAGGCTTTTGAAGGCATACTTTTATCTGCAGACTGAAAGTGGGCTCTAATACATGTTTACTGAACAATGAGATCCCATGGTAAGCGACCGCCAAAGCACTGAGCCGTTAAGAACGCTCGTTCGTCGCCACTCCTAGACCCTCTGAAGTACCATTCCAAATTTGTAATTTAAAAGACACTTTAGTGGTTGCAAAAAAGGGAGGAATATTAATGGATAATTGGTTAATTGCAAAAGGCATAACCTTTGTTGCAGAGTGACTGAATGCAACTCATTGTGATCCACCCTCTGATTTATGGTTTGTCTGATTCAAATCACTGCATCTGATAAATGAATTGATCTTTGAAAATCCAAAGCGCACAATGAGAATTAGGTGAACGGCGCAAAAAAAGAGGCTCAGATAAAAAGGAGACTGACTGCATGCTTGGTGGGTGAGCCGCACTGATATCCGTGATGGCAACCCTACCAATCCTTTGCCATCCTGCAAGTTGCGACGGCAGCCATTCGGATCAAAAGAACTATTAAAGTGCTGTTGTCCTGAAATCCCAACGTTCCTCGGCGAAAGAAACAAACCAAGAGAGGCAAGAATAGGGCAGAAAAATGCGTCTTCTATCATCCTCCATTACTCAAATCATGTTACAAAAACATTCGCTGATACTTCGAGAACCCTCAAATCTGGGACGCCCCTTGCAATAGTGGCGACGCATCGTTGTACAAGCTCTATAAATACCTTTGTGATACTCATTTTTTGCATTTCCTGATATTCATTTTCTTCTGCCACCGAATTTTCACAGTTATACACCTTTCACCACCAAAAACTCCAAAAATCAACTCATTGACGTCACCCTCATTTTTTCTATGAAGGCATAACTGGCTGAAAGAGCATAATGCGAACAAACAACTTTTTATTTTTTCATCAGAATTTCCGGTTATCAGTACATGTTTTCAGCTGTACATTTTTGGGGTAAGCCACTGTTGGTCTCCAACATAATGCTCCGATCCATTTTTGAACTTGGTGTGGCCTTCTTTCAGCTCGTGCAGCCTATGAAAGCACAAAACTTGCGTCTGCTTCCATTTTGAAACAGCAGTTCAATTCAGTACTCAGGTGCGATGCTGTAAATCAAAAAGCGCGGGAAAAAAGTTAGATAGCAGATAAGAAAGGAGTTTAAAGCCAGAAAATGTATTCTTTTCTCAGAGAAAGTAAATATGGAGGGAGTATAGACTTTTTGGTCGAAAAGGCAAGGAGGATAGCTAACTGTTGTTTCCTAGTGATTCAGCTTGTTAGGGCGACACAGTTTTTCTCAAAATATGGACTTTCTAAGTTGCCCTAAGAAATTTATTTCCCAGTTTCCTCTTAGCTTCGTTTTAAAACCAAATTCGTAGTTCAGGGTACTGTGAAATTTGAAATCCGGCCTTAGGCTGTTTGTCCCAAATCACTGGTTGATGTAAAATTGTTTGTTTTGAAATTATAATAACCCATCACTAGAGAAGCCGGATTTGGACCCAAAATCAAAGATCTTCACCCCATCAAATTTCTTCTTTAGGTCCTGTAGTTTTTGATTCTAAAATATCGGAACAGCATAAATTGATTACAACGCGTTTCTTTATTCTGAATCATTTCGAACAAAGCATAGTGCTAGTCCGAAATAATTTTAGGAAGGAGCAGTTTGTATGGGCATGTATGGTGCCTTATGGATACTGCTCCTTCTCTTTATGCAGCTTTTGGCAGAAGGACAGGGATGGGACGAGCAGTCAGATCGAAACAATATGCTCGGTGCGCGATATTACGACGGCAAGAAGATTGTGTTACCAGTCTCCGAGGATGCAATGCGAGATTTGCTAAATCACTGGCTCCATCAAGCTACTGGAAGCTTTATGTCTGCATTTGCCAATAACAAAATTAACAAGTTCGTTATGAACCTTCCTTAGTTCCGTGTCATATTCTTTCTTGACTTTCTCAGTCTTATTTTGTGCCTATTTTAGTTTTTGGCTAAGCTGAGTAAACCCTCTGATTTTTTAGTGCAACAGAAAGCTTACTGCCCTTTTCGTCGAATTCAATTTTCTTATCTTCTTGGATAATTAATTTCATGAATTCGAAAATTCGAAGATTGAGATTTTTGATGTAACGAAACTGCAAAAGTGGTAGTAGGCCCTTAATAAATATCATTGCGTCTAAAGGCGGTGTGAGGCAAGCCAGTAATAGTTTGACTGTGCTTACGGTTCAACAGCCTCTGTCGAAGCTCTCTTTCGCAGGTGAGTGCGAACTGAGGGGGAATCGGACCTTTCATTTTCATTACCTCCGAATCCTCCCAGTCGCGACGTGTTATCCAATTACACTATTGGCTCTTGTGCTGCAAACTGAATTAAAACATTCCACGTACGCCGCTAGATATATGGATGGCATACATATATTTAGGCATATGCATAGGTACATATATATTATTTTGCATTGTCTAATGCTATCACTACATGTAACGCTGATTCCTTTCAGTTCTTGTAACCCTCGTCCAAGGAGTTCAGTTGCGAAATTAATTAGGAATGCCTACGGTATAACGGACTAAAACATCCCTATTTAGATTTATCATTTTTATTTCAACCTTTTATCCGAACTATTTCCTTTTACAATAAATCAGTTCATCTTGTATTATTACTGCAAGTTGTCTTCAAAGTAAAAGCAAATCCTCCTACGAAGCATGAAAAACAGACGAAAGGAAAAAGATTAAGATGGTTGCTACAAACACCAAGCAGGTTTGCCAATGCTTCATCCAGAAGACCAATTTGCAGTGAAGGGGGCATCAATGAACACTACCAATACCGCTATCGCATATGCTCCAAGAAGGCAGATACAGTGCAGAAGCACGCTCACTGCGTCATCAACGCGCTTTCCGCGGACAAAAACGAAATACAAACTCAGGGTTGGATTTTCGAACTTAAGAACCGTTTAGAAGTTTTTATTTTTTGTTTCTAACAACTTCTGAGAGTATGCTGTCAGATAATTTTTTATTTTCTATGCTTCTGCAGAAAAGAGCGAAATTTTGTGTGTGTGTGTGTGTGTGTGTGTGT